GCTGGCTTTCTAAGGGGATTTGGATGGAGAAGAGGGCTGTGATGTCGTGTGGAAAGGCTGGGGGCTGCTGGAGGGCACGAGGGACTCTTCAAGAGAGTGGCAGGAAGTGCTCTCAGGGTTGGCACTTGAGGTTTGAGAGGTGGTCCATCAAGTCGAAGTCTGGGGAAAGAGCTTTTGGTGCTTTGCAGGCTTTGCAACAGGGCTTTAGCGAGGTGCGCTGGGCACTGCTCATGGTTGTGAAATGAGTATTCTGGGGGCTGGGAAGGTTGCTCAAAGGGCTGGAGCAAATGCTTCGTATGTGGGAGCCTCAGGTCTGATCCTGAGGCCCCCAGTTCTCTAAGCACCACTGGGGAGTGACTGAGCACTGACAGGTGTGCAGGAGGTGACCGAAGAGAAAGAAAAAGAAGGAAGTAGAAAGTTAGAGGAGGAGGAGAATGAGGAGAGGAGGATGAGATTCACCATCAGCATCACCAGCCCGGCTACAGGGGGAGAACGGATTACAGAGGGCCAGAGCAGAACCAGAAAGACAAGCTAGGAGACAGGCAGGTGGACCACACCTGAGGTGGTCACATGAGGACGGAGAAGGTAAGTGAAATGAGTGACCAGGCAGCTGGGGCGTGGGCTGAGAGCGAGCAGGTCAGCTGCCCTTGGACCTACACTTTCCTTTGTTGGCTTGACTGGGGGCCACACCTGGAGGTTCTCAGAGGATATTCCTGGTTCTGTGCTCCTGGCTCACTCCTGACAGTGTTTGGGGAACCATATCAGGCCAGGCTGGGGGCAGGGTGTATGCTCAGCCCCCCGGGCTCCCTCTTTGGCCAATCTTAGACTCTTGCCTGGAGCAATTGGGCTGGTGGCGGGGTCTTTCACTGAGAAAGGGGAAACGCAAGCACAGGTTTGGGGAAGAAATGCGAGACCTCCATTTTGGCTCTAAGTTTCAGATGCCTCATAGATGTCCACGCGAAGATTTCAGGGGGATACAAAGGCTGGAGAGGCCGATTTGCTGCCTAGAAATATGACAGAAGGAGAGATGCAAAGCCCTGGCACTAGACACATGCAAACAGAGAGGAAGCTGACAGAAGTAAGTGAACCAGACAGCCTGGGGCAGAAACTAGCAAAAGAGACTATGGCCAGGCAGTGAGAAGCGGAACAGAGGAAGAAAAGTGATGTCACGGAAGTCAGGAGACAAGAGTGGCTGCTGCTTTTTTTTTTTTTTTTTTATCAACTGGATCAAAGGCAGCTGAGGCAAAGTAGGAAGAAAATGGTGACATGAGTCTCTGGAGGGGAACTCAGGGCACGGAGGGGCAGTATTGCCTCACCCTTTCTAAGGACTCCTCTCCCAACTTCTTTCTACCACAGTTTAAGCCTTTTATCCCACAGCTTACCAAGGAGGGGCTCTTTTGTTTGTTTGGTTTTGTTTTATGGCCACACCTGGTAATCTGGTAATGCTCAGGGCTTACTGCTGGCTCTGCACGCAGGAATTAAGCCCTGGCTGTGCTCCGGGACCATCCGGGAAGCTGGGAGTCAAACCCGGGGTTGGCTGTGTGTAGGGCAAGCACCCTCTCTGGGCCCAGAAGGGCTCATCTTAAAATGGAAGGGATGGGGGGCATATTTGCAATGCCCAAGGAGAGGCCTGCCTGGGAAGAAGGGTGACATCAGAAGTCACAGGGGGCTCTAGAGTGTGGAGGGGCAGCTGGCCAGGTCAGGAGCAGAGCTGGGCGATGGGAGGAAGCAGGTGGGGGCGAGGGGGCTGGGAAGGCATAACCTTGGGAGACTAAGAAGGCCCCTCACCACGGCCAACCGCAGCCCCCTGGCACCTCCACCTCCTGTTTTCACTTCCCTGGTACCTTCCCGGGAGAAAGATGCCACCTGCTGCCCTCCCGGGCCCTCTGTGCCTCCTTCCCTTCCCGCCCTCCAGCCCTCCCCCTGCTAACCTTAGTCAGCCATCAGACTTCTCTGCTCTGCCCTGCCTCGCCCCCTGCGACTTGGTCTTTCACTTGTATCTGTCATCGTCAGTGCTCTTAGGCTCCGGGGGCTAATCTGTGAGCCTCCGCAGTCACCACTCCGAGGGCCATCCTGAAGCCAGCAAGGCCTTTGCGTCCGGGCTGGGGGCAGTTTCCAGCCGGCCTCTCGGCCTCAGCTGCCAGGCAACGTCCTGCGAAACAGCTCCCCTGCGTGGACAATGGCTGAATCACAGCTTTGGCATTGCTGGTTCCACCCAGGCCACTATTTTTTTTTCCCCCTTTCCCTTTAAGTTTTTGTTTTTCGTGCCAGGAATGGGACCCGGGGTCTCACACATGCGCTCTGTCTTTAATCTTAATCCTGGGTCTCAGATCACCAGTTCGTAGTTCAAAAAGAATAATTCGTTTGGCACACACTTCTTGAGCACCTGTTACGGGTCTGGCATAACTGAAGTGGTTTTGTGGGGACAGTTTCACTGTCAGCCCCTGAGCAAGCATCAGACCCAAAAGGTCGTGACAAAGCCTCTTGCTCCGGCTGTCTCTGCCATGGTACCGGCTGTCATGTGCTAGACTCACAGGGACGGGAGGTTGATTGGGCCTGATATGGGAGCAAGCTGGGGAAGGTTCTAGTTCTGGAAGGCACAAGTAGAGCTAAGCCTCCCTCCTCCCTTTCCTAAGACTACATGTCTGTAAGTGTTCAGAGGTTACTCCCATCTCAGTGCTCTGGGATTGTTCCTGGTGGAGCTCCGGGGGACCATGCAGTATCAGGGAGCTAACAGGGGTCTCCCACATGCAGAGCATGTTTTGCTAGCTCTAGCTCAAGGTAAGCCTTTTTGTTTTGGTCTCTTGACCACCCCCAGCTGTGCTCAGGGATCCCTTCTGGTGGTGCTTGGGGGAACCATATGGGGATAAAACTGGGGATAAAACTTGGGTTGGCTGCATGCAAGGCAAGCGCCCTCTCCGCTGTACTGTCTTTTCAGCCATCGTAAGCCACTTTAAAAATAAATGTACCCCTACATGGAAAGCATCATGCTAAGTGAAATGAGTCAGAAAGAGGAGGACAGACATAGAAAGATTGCATTCATCGGGGGAACATAAAGTAACAAAATAGGAGACTAACATCCAAGAATAGCCGAGATAAGTACCAGGAGGTTCACTCCATGGCTTGGAGGCCAGCCGCACACGCTAGGGGGAAAGGCAGCTCAGATAGAGAAGGGAGCACCAAGTAAAGGGTGTTGGGAGGATCCTCCCAGGATGGGAGATACATGCTGAAGGTAGACTATACACCGAACATGACTGCCACTCAATGCCTCTTTTGCAAACCTCGGCACCCAAAAGGAGAGAGAGAACAAAAGGGAATGCCCTGCCACAGAGGCAGGGTGGGATGGGGGGGATGGGGGTGGGAGGGATACTGGGATCCGTGGTGGTGGGAAATGGCCACTGGTAGAGGGATGGGTACTCGATCATTTATAACTGAAACCCAAGCACAAAAATTTGTAAGTCTACAACTGTACCTCATGGTGTTTCACTAATAAAAATTAAAAAATAAATGTACCCAACAACCTTCTTTTGAGCACCACTATGTCCCAGGCACTGAGCAGGGAAAGGAGACGAACATGCACCTGGAGTAGCCCCCACACACAACCAGGTGTGGCCAAAAGCCAAAGCGAAAACTCACAAAGCGCATGAGAGCATTGGGGAGATGGCTCAAGGCCAGAGTACATGCCTAGTGGAGCCACACAGCCTCCCTGAGCTCCATCATAAGGCCACGCCCCTCCTCGCCCCCACCCAGACAAAGAGCCCCATGACTGCCGCAGGGGATCCTACAGGCATCCACAGGCCCAAGGGAAGGAGGCAGGGAGGAGGGGAGAGGCCAGAAGTGGCCCTGACATTTGGCTTTTGGCAAGGACTAAAGGCCTCAAAGAAACTTAAACTGGAAAGTGGTGAAGGAGAAGGAGAAGGTCGGCAGGCCATGTGGAGGTAGGTGGGAGAGGGGGCTCAGGGCCACTCCAGGCTCAGAACTGGGGGTCCCAGGCTCGCCCTGGTTGTCTGGTTATGTCTGCGGACTTGATCCCCCACCAGGCGCCGCACCCTTGCTCTAAGGCTAGCCGCAGCTCCGTGCAGTTCTGGGGTCCTTCCAGCCCTCACCCCTTCCCCTAGCCGGAGACTCTGCTTCTGCAGAAATGGTGGCTGGTTGGTTGGTTTGGGGGCGGCTCTGGGCCTGAGTGCAGGGCTACAGCAGACTCTGTGCTGGGGGTCCCACCCGCCTAGCATGAGCTCCAAGCCATCCCCTGGGCCTGCTGCCACCGACAGGATTTCCACACAGCACTGTGTGTCGACCCCCAAGGGTCTCCTGCCCAAGTGCTCTTTTCCTGAGCAAGGCCTCCAGATCCTGCATCCCCGTGTTATCTGAACAATCCAGAAGGCTCCCAGCTGGCTAGCAGCCTCAAGCTATCGTTGGGGCAACCTGCTGTCTCCCGCCACTCCCTCCCTCCCCCATCTGACGGCTCCATGCTGCCCCCTGTAGGGACGTGCCTTCTGCACACCACGAGGCTCCTGGTCTGGGGCGCCAGGTCTTCCTGAACCCAGACCCCTCGTACCCCTCCCCTCAGAGAATCTTCCTGTCATTCCCCAGACGCATCTGGGGGTCTTTGCTCTACTACCCTCTTTACTTCTTTTTGTGGTGGTGGAGGCATGTCTTGACGCTCAGGACTTCTGCCTGCACTCAGGAATCACTCCAGGTGGTGCCCGGGGGACCGTTTGGGATGCTGGGGTTTGAACCCAGGTTGGCTGTGTGCGAGGCAAGAACCCTACTCGCTGTACTATCTCTCTGGCCCCAAGATTCTAGCAAATATTCAGGCACAGACTCGACTGCCAACTGTCTCCTGAGTGACCCACCTACTGCCCTGCACCTGCCCCGGCTGTCTGTCGGGACACTCGGGGGCAAGGCTCTCTGTGACCAGAGGAGAGCGTTTGTGGCTGCATCATCCCAGCCCCTGGCTCTGCCTTCTGGGCTCAGGAGCAGACCGGCTGCCCCCCTACCTTCATACTGGACGTCCAGGTGCACAGTGCGCAGCACCCTCAACACGCAGTCCACGATCCTGGGGTGCGTGACGCCCACAATCGCCTGGCGAGACAAACAGCACCGGGTGGTGATGTAGCTCTCACCCACCTGGGAGACTGGGCTGCAGGATGACCCGCCCTGCAATGGCCTCACAGCATGGGTCAAGGGCGGTGGGAGGGAGAGGAGGAGCAGCCGTGGGGGGCTGGGAACATGCACCTGGGCAAGGCTCCCTCAGCAGCAGGGAGTGCAGGGGAAGGCGGGCACTGGCCCGTGAGCTTGAGGAAAAAAAAAAAAAGAGTGGTGCCCAGTGGTGCTCTGGAGTGCTCTGGGGACCAAAGGAGGCGCCACACAAGGCAATGCTGGGAGTCCACAGGGACAGCTGCTGAGCTTTGCGGACTCGCAGGACAGATGTGCCATCGCAGCTGTGGTCACTCAGCCCCACGTCTGCTATGCTCTCATCCCAGGGCCCTGCCTGACCGGAAGGCAGAACCCAGCGAGCGAGATGGAGCATCCCCAAGCCTGGAGCCTCTTCAGGCTCAAGCTGTGGACAAATCTCCACAGTGCTTCGCCTCTCAGATGGACTCCGCTAATCTCTCCTACAAGCCTCTCATCGGTCTGTGGCTTGTCTCCGCCAGTTTTAAGTCGGCCAACATCTTCCTGATCCTTAAGTAAACAGGACAAATCACTGTGCTGGGAGAAGTGATCTCTCTGCCCCACGCTGGCCTCTGGACAGCTGATGGCGAGTCAGCTTCCCAGAGGCGTGGAGGGGGTCACTGTCAGCAGGCTGTGTCGGGGCGGACACGAGGGGGCAGGCAGCCTGGGCTCACCTGGGCAGTCCTGAGAGTCTGCAGGGATAGCTGTTGAGCTTTCGGGGACTCACAGGGCAGCAAAGCGATGAGGCCTTTGTAGACTTGATTCTGGTACTTGGGGTTACCATGGACCAAAGAATTCAACAGAGCCTGTACTTCTTCCTGGGTCTCTTCCGACCTGGATTTTGCCAGGAATTCTGCTATGGACCGTACACCTGAGCAAAGGAGACAGGCATGGGAAGGGATTTATGAGAAACACTCCCGACTCAAGGGTCTGTCACATGAGGCGCAAGGATTAAGGTGCTTCAGCCAAGCCTTCTGCTAAACAAAGCTGAGGCCCTGTTCTCGTGTTCTTCACTCTCTTGTTTCCTTCATGACCTGGGGCTGGAAGATTCTATTTCAGCCTGGTATGTCACAGCTGGTCAAAATCTGTTCACAATTTTAAAATGGCGTTGCAAAACGCACAAATCAAACAAGAGAGATGAGCTCAAACGGGAGCGAGCATGACGTACATGCAGAAAGCTCGCGTTCCATCCCTGGCCCCTTGCCGGTCCCTGAGCACCTCTGGGAGCAATTTCTGAGCACAGAGTCAGGAGTAGCTCCCAATCACTATTGGACATGGCTCCGAAACCAAAGAAAAGAAATGTACATTTTTACAAAATGCTGTTTGATAACTAATACATGGGGAGCGCTTAACAGTTTACCAAATATTTTAACAAACACGAGGGCTTCGATCCCAGAAACTATAGTGAGGTGTGTTGTTCCCATTTCGCAGAGAAGGTGCAGTGAGGGGAGGGCTACGAAGAAGGAGGGGGCTGGCATCTCCTTGACATGGAAGCATTTAGTAGATCATCCTGCAAAGACAAAATATTCCTTTGGGTGCCTCTCAAGGAATGGTCAAGGGGCCTGTGGGTACTTCTGCCGATACTCAGTCAACTGGGCCGGAGGGTTCAGCACTTGGGCTTGGCATTGATATAACCCAGCAGTGCTGGGAGCGGGGACAAGCAGTGCTGTAGATCAAATCTTGCATCTGGTGCATGCAAGGCAAATTCTCCAGCCATCGGGACCATCTCCCTACCCTTAAAAATGACAAGATTATTCATTTAGATTTCTCATCACACTATAAGAGCTTTGAAGATACGGGCTGTATTTTATTCATCGTAGTACTGCTAGCACCTCAGTATATACCTAGCACGCCCATTCGGTGATATTATTTCTGTTTTATTTTGAAGCTTATCCACAATTCACTTAACTTCACAAAGGACTTTAAACCATGGCTCTCAACAAATCTTTGCTGACTGGAAGCCGGAAAGAGTGAAGTTTCAAATGGAGAAGTTTAAGATGGAGGTGGCTGCAGGCATGCATGCAGGAGCCCCAGGCTCAATTTCCAGAGCCACGCGGTTCCAGAACACCATGAGGAGTGACCCCTGAGCACTGCTACGGGAGTAGCCCATGAACACAGTCAAACGTGGCTCAGAAACTAAATGATGGGGCTGGAGCGACAGCACAGCGGGTAGGGTGTTTGCCTTGCATGCGGCTGACCCGGGTTCTATTCCCAGCATCCCATATGGTTCCCTGAGCACCGCCAGGAGTAATTCCTGAGTGCATGAGCCAGGAGTAACCCTTGTGCATTGCCAGGTGTGACCCAAAAAGCAAATCAATCAATCAATCAATCAATAAATAAAAGAAACTAAACGATAAATGCCTACATAAAATAGAGCAGCAGTTCCAAAGCCACCATGGGAAGACTTGAACCAATGGTGACCCAGGGAATCAGAAATCTGGGGTTGATATGGGCAGGTACAGAGTCCACCCAGGGTCCTGCGATTCTCTTGCAGTGGTGGGGGTGCTGCTGCCTCTGACCCCAGCCTTTAAGGAGACACAGTTGTGGGAAGATGAGCCACAGCACCCACCATAGCTTTCACAGATCAGCTCTTTGTACTTCCGGCCAGAGTCTGCAATGATCTGCAGGAGCTTGATGGACTCCTTCTTGCTCTCTTCCCTGATGATGTCCAGTCCGAGTATTTCCAAGAGAGTCAGGACGCCTCCAACTTCAATAAATTCTTTAAGATATGGATAACTGGCCCGAGTGATAGAAGAAGAGAAAGAAAACATTTGTCACGTGTTTGGCACGGATCTTTCTAAGAGACCTCGAGGTTCTTCCTTCACATACCTCCCCCTCCTCTGCAGGAAATGTTCTTGGGAAAAGCCTGGATAATGGTTTGGAAATATTTCCAGCAGGAGGTGGGAAAGCTAAATACACCTCCGGAAGGGCACTGCTCTGGCATTCAGAGCCCATGTGGTTGGGAAAGGGTGGACAGATGACAGGGTATGTCATTTGTCTGATGTAGGAATTTATTTGGGACCAGCATGCGATATAAGTTGGTCCCACAAGACACCAAAGCCAGGACTCTCTCAGAACAGCTTTGCAGAGATCCGCTGCAGTTCTGGGCGGGTGCAGGGCTAGAGTTTCCCTGGACCAAAGCCCATGCAGGCCAGGAAATACTGAGCTGGAAATGTAGGGGAAGGCTTGAAGAGACAAGCACTGGGGACATTTTCTGAACATGTGAGTCCAGGCAGACTAAAATATGGATTCCTAAGCTCCGGGCTTTTCAGTTAAGCGAGCCAATAAATACCCTCTTTTCCTGAGCTTAGCAGGAGCTGGTCTTCTGGAACATACTGACAGGGCAAGTGTCAATGGAGAAGCAACTGGGCAGGACCTCAGCGGGGGCTGCCCGAAGGCCCAGGCTGAGGGGCAACTGGGAGGATCAGAAACCATGGTCCCAGGCGGTGTGAATGCCAGAGACCGCACCACCCCAATGGCTCTGGAGTGGAACTCACCTGTTCACAGCTGCTAGGAAGATGCCGATGGACTGTAGAAGCTTATCTAGACAAAAGCTCGTTAGGTAGCTGCAGGATGAGTTAAGGAGTGATGTCCAGGGAACTCTGTCAGGTCCCAGGGCCAGAATGACCACTCACTGCCCTGTGCCCGAGGCAGGCCTCAAGGCTGGAAGGGGAGGGGTGATGCTCATGGACTGGGAGGGCCTGGGGGTGCAGTTCCCTAGGACAATCTCTGGGCTGTGACAGGCTCTAATAAAGAAAAGGCATGAGGTGAAAGCAGGAGTCCCTTTTCTCAGCCTTTCTTTTTTCTTTTTTGGACTACACCTGACAATGCTCAGGGCTTACCCGTGGCTCTGAGCTCAGGGATTTCTCCTGGCAGTGCTCAGGGGACCATTTGGAGGGCTGGGGATCAACCCGGGTTGGCGGTGAGAAAGACAAGCACCCTGCCCGCTCTCCTGTCATGCTGGCCCCTCTAAGCCTTTCTAATCCATGACCCTTGTGTCCTGGGGGCCTCAGCCTCGTCCACGATGGTGCCTCATTCCTGGGATCAGCTTCACCATTGAGTCTCCATTTTGTACTGGCTCAAAGCTTGATACTGGAGGTCACTATCTCTATGAAGAATTAGCACGTCGGCCTCAGAAGAACAACAGGAGATGGTGGGAAAATTAAACTCTGATTTAAAACACCCGCAGTGTTTAATGTTATATTTTAATGTGAGCCTCCGCAAAAAGCGTCGTTGTAATAAAGTACCCGGAGCACTCATCTGCTCGGATACAAGGCATGAAATCAAGCGACAACGGAGGAGAAACTAGTCAACAATTACTAGGCTCATAACACATCCCAGGCTCTTAGAACACTTAAGAAATTAGCTGGAATTATTGCAGCTCATGTGGATGACTGAGAGCTTCCAGGGCCGAGAAAGGCTAATGTAATGGGCTGGAGGTAATGGGGCTGTGTTGGGGGGGGGTGTGTGAGGCAAATTATCTCTGCTGCACCCTGGTTCCCAGGATGCCAATAGAAGTGGAGACAGATTGGCTCATTAGGAAAGGCTCTTTGCTGCAAAAACTGTGCCTGTGAGTGAGTCTCCCCGCCTGTTGCTGCTACAGCAGGGGGCCAAGGCATGGGGGTCTCTGTACCTGCACCGTCCTTCATTCTGCTCCCCCGAAGCCTCAGACCCCACTCCTGCCTCAGTACATCCTCCCTCTTATCTTTTGTCACAGCTAAATCTAGCAGCTTCTGCCACCTCTCCCCGCTGTCCCATGCTAGTGTTTGGTTTTGGCTTTGGGGGTCATACTGGATGGTTCTCAGGGCTTACTCATGGCTCTGTGCTCAGGAATCAGTTCTGGCAGGGCTTGGGGGACCATATTTGGTGCCAGAGATGGTACTTGGGCTGGTCATACGCAAGGCATGTGCCTGCCTGCTGTACTATCTCTCCAGGTTTCAGGCGTGTGTGTGTGTGTGTGTGTGTGTGTGTGTGTGGTGCTGGGGGGTTGAACCCAGGGCCTCACACATGTAAAAAAAGTGTTCTACCACTGAGCACATCCCTAGTCCCGATTAGTCTTACTTTCTTTTTTAAAAATTATTATTATTATTATTATTATTATTAGCTGTTTGGACCACACCCAGCGATACACAGGGATTACTCCTGGCTCTGCACTCAGGAATTACTCCTGGAAGTGCTCAGGAGACCATATGGGATGCTGGGAATCAAACATGGGTCGGCTGCATGCAAGGCAAACGCCCTACCCGCTGTGCTATCACTCCAGCCCCCAGGTTTAGTCTTTTTTTTTTTTCCTTTTTGGGTCACACCCAGCGATGCACAGGGGCCACTCCTGACTCTGTACTCAGAAATTACTCCTGGCGGTGCTCGGGGGACCATATGGGATGCTGGGAATCAAACCCAGGTCGGCCGTGTGCAAGGCAAACACCCTACCCGCCGTGCTATCACTCCAGCCCCCAACCCCCAGGTTTAGTCTTACTTTCACTCTACATCTACTGGTTCATTGTTCCCACCGCTAGTCCCACATGCTTAGGACTAACCACGAAATCAGTCCGAAGCGTCTACTGTGTGCCAGGCCCTGTGTCAACTGCTAGCTTTCTTGTTCCCTGCAGGGGTGCTACTGGTATTCCTCTTTACTTCTGGAGGAAACAGTCTCAGGTTGATGATTTATTTGCCCAAGGTTCCAGAGTTAACAGAAGGGACCAGGATTTGAGCAGAGGCCTCTGTGCTCTGACAAGGACTCGGTCTCGGGGTCAGGCTTCCTCTCTGTGGATGCTTGTAGGGACCACTCATGCAGATTCCCTCCTTGGGTGGTGCTGGAGGTGGTACTGTGGGTCTGCACTGTCCACTGAGTGGGAGGCCCTCAAGTGCCCATTTCATGGGCCCATTTCAGGCCCATTTTAAATTTCATCTCTACAGAGGTATTTACTGGTCGCTTACTTGTCGGTGACCTCTTTAGGGTGCCGCTTGCTAATTTATCTGACAGGGTAAATACCAACCACTTCCTAGGTGTGGCGTGAGGCTTGGTGCGGTTAAAGCTGGCTTAGTAAGTGGCTCGGTGCCTAGAACCCAAAGACTCATCAGTGAGGCTAGGAACAGCTCAGCAGGCGTGTGCCCACCTTGTCAGCAGAGGCCACAAGCACCAGGCTGGCAGCGCCATTCAGGACCACAGCCAGGGGGGTGGCATCAGCATACCACCGGGCGGAGAGTGTGCACACCCTGACTGACACCGGTGACCACCACAATCGGCAGTGAGCACCACAATCAAATGGGGGTGACCTCGGTCAGCCCCAGAACAACAGAGGGAAGGAAGGGAAGGGGGGAAACGGTTCAGTAAATAGTAACTCATAATTTTGTCATAATATAAAAAGCCTTTAGTTTTACCGATCTACTCTATAAATTCAAGGTTAGAAAAGGGATTGGAGGCTTATCTGGGATTAGGCGGTGGTCAATTTTGCAAAACACGGTGATGCTATATTGATTTGTTTTCTGTCAAAGCTGGTGTAACTGAAGGGCTGGGGCGAGGTAGGGTCACTGACTCAGAACATTCCAGTCTGTTTGCTCTAGTGCAGGACAAGGTCACAAAACGTTAGCAAACCATGAATGATTTAGGGTCAAAATATATATTTACGTTGTGACATTGCCAGTGTTATTCTTGGCAATGTTCGGGGACCACTGGTGTCAGGGATCAGACCCCAGCCTTCTTTATATGAAGCACATGCCCTCAGCCCACTGAGCTATCCCTCCAACCATCAATGCACTATGTCAAAAATCAGAATGAAGAACAAATTTGATGAATAAAATATTATAGTTTTATATATTTCTTTTTCTTCTTTAAATCAATGAACGTTAAACAGAGCGGCATCTTGAACTCCCGAGAAACCTCAATGAGCTTGGTTATCGTGTGGATATGGTCGATGGTGCTGAATCCTTTGCGGATTTAAGTGATTTAAATGATTTTTTGCTTTTTGGGTCATACCCGGCAATGCACAGGGGTTCCTCCTGGCTCTGCGCTCAGGAATTACCCCTGGCGGTGCTCAGGGGACCATATGGGATGCTGGGAATCAAACCCTGGTTGGCTGCGTGCAAGGCAAACGCCCTACCCACTGTGCTATTGCTCCAGCCCCTAAAATACTACAGTTTTATGGGCTGGAGAGAGAGTACATGGGTTTGGGGCTTAGGTTCTTGCCTTACGTGTGATCGACCCTGGTTTGATCCTTGGCACTATGTATGGCCCCTGAACAATACCAGGGATGACCTCTGAGCACAGTATACCCTACACACAGCTGGGGGTGGCCCCTCAAACAGACAAATTAAAGTTGTAAATAAAGATTGGCTCTATCTTTGCTCTTCTACCATGGTGCCTCTCTCCTCATCCTGTGTCGACGGGAAATATCAGAGGGGTGAGCACCGTGTTTGGGGACATGCAGGGTGGGAAAGAAGTCAGGGTGTGACACAGTAGGCGCCAGTGTTCCTCAGCATTATTCTTGTTCATCAGTCTCAGAGTCACAGGGTGCTTAAGACTAGCATCCCTGTCCCAACCCACCAAATCAGAATCCTGGGAGTGGCGGTGGGGTGAGGGGCTGAAAACCTGTGCGTTAAACCTCTGATATGGTCCCAATATAAGAGAACACTGGGGGGTCATGCCCCAGGCCCTAACCTTTATTTTTTTGGTGGGGGGCACACCCGGCAATGCTCAGGGGTTATTCCTGGCTCTGCACTCAGGAATTAGTCCTGGTGGTGCTTGGGGGGCCTTATGGGATGCCAGGGATTGAACCCAGTTGGCTGCGTGCAAGGCAAGTATCCTATCCAATGTACTATCATTCTAACCCCCAGTCCCTAGCCTCTTACATAGTGGGTTGTGAATCCATATGGAGTTGTGTGACTAGACTGGATTATGAACATTTGCTTTAGGAGGGTGAAGAGATAGTACAGCGGGTAAGGCACTTGCCTCGCTAGCCCTGGATTTTATTCCTGGCAGCACATATGATCCCCTAAGCATACGAGTAAACCCTGAGCGCAGGGCCAGCATCAGGCGTGAGCCCTGAGCACAACTGAGTGTGGCCCCAAACCCAAGCTTTAAAATTAATTTCTTTTTTTTTTTAAATCATCATCATCAGTAGTCTCAAGAAACCTCCACATTTGGGGCTGGAGCAATAGCACAGCAGAGAGGGCATTTGCCTCGCATATCGCAGACCTGGGTTCAACATGCCTCCCCTAATGTCCCCCGAGCACCGCCAGGAGTAATTCCCGAGTGCAGAGCCAGGAGTAACCCCTGAACATAACAAGTGTGGCCCAAAGACAAAACCAACAACCACCCCCTCCCCCCCAAAATAAAGCCCAAAACAGAAACCTCCACATTTTAGGGCTGGTTACAAAAGAGAAAGAATGGGCAGAAAGGAGAGACAAAAATTAAGAGATTTGGTATCACAGAAGCCAGAAGCCAAGGGGGGCGGGGAGGACACTGTGAGAGAACATTGTGAGAGACACTGCAGGAGAGAGGGAGGTGAAAGAGGGGAGAGGAAGACAGCGACCTTTTCAAGAAGCTTCTCTGTGGCGGGCAGGAAGCGGGTGGAATGGAGAGGAAGATGAAAATGTACTGTGGTCGTGAAGTAGAAGAGATTGAGACATCGGTGAAACTGGTGAGAAAGGGAACAAAACAACAAGCCACAGGAGAGAGGAACGGAGATGCGAGGAGACGAGAGAGGAATCAAAGGTGTTAGATGGGCTGGAGTGACAGTACAGTGGGTAGGATTTGCCTTGCACACAGCTGACCCGGGTTCCATCCCCGGCATCCCAGATGGCTCCCTGAGCACCACCAGGAGTAATTCCTGAGCATTGCTGGGTGTGACCCCAAAACCAAAATACAAAGAACAAGTTCTTCAGACAGAAGAATAAGCCTGGACACAAAGAACGGGCTATCGAGCTGCTGGGAGCAAGAGCATCAGGGGTGAGAATGAGGCTCTATTTATAAACTGAGAAGTCAGGGAGATGAGGGAATTTTAGACTTTGAGGATAATTATATATTTGTTTTGTTTGGGGGCCACACCTGGTGGTACTCAGGGCTTACTCCTGGCTCTGCACTCAGAGCTAACTCCTGGCAGTGCTCAGGGGACCATATGGGGTGTCAGGGATCGAGTCTGGGTCAGCCATGTGTAAGGAAAGTGCCTTAGCTGCCCTAGTATTTTGCTGTTCCCTGAGGGTGATATTTTTTTTCTCTTTGGGTCACACCCGGCGATGCTCAGGGGTTACTCCTGGCTTTGCACTCAGGAATCACTCCTGGCGGTGCTCAGGGGACCATTTGGGATGCTGGGAATCAAACCCAGGTCGGCCGCGTGCAAGGGAAACGCCCTACCCACTGTGCTATTGCTCCAGCCCCGGATTGGGGGTGGGGGTGATATTTTGATCGCCTAACATGCTCCTAAAGAGCCTTGAATATAATCTCAGGGCTAGGATGAAGGAGACGTTACTGGGGCCTGCTCGAGGCAATCGACGAATAACAGGATGGTCGTGATTCGTGAACATGCTGGAACTGTGAGAGTCCCTTCAGCAACCTGCTTCCCTTTTTTCTCTTCCGAAGACGGCCTTCAACACTTACTTTACTTTTTGTTCATCAAAGGATACTTGAGTCGGAACCATGTGGTCAGGCGTACCAGGAACAAGCTGGCCCCCTGGGAAAACTCCTGCTCCAGCTCAGGGCCAGTCTTGCCTTGGTTGGTTTCGATGAACCTGCTGAGGATGTGGCTCCTTGCGACTTTGTCAGCGTTGTCCCAATCCTGTAAAAAACTCAGGAGCCGGCTAATTGCAGCCTGCTCCTTTATAGAAGTCATGATCAGCCAGTCCCGAGGTTGGCTACAAAGGAAGAGAGAAGAGTCATCACTGAGGTGTTTAATTAGGACCAGGCAAATCCTAACAGGATTACTCTGAGCTTTCTTTTTCTTTCATTTTGGGCTTTTTTTTTTTGGGGGGGGGGTAACCTCGGCGATGCTCAGGGGTTACTCATGGCTCTGGAGTAACTCTGGAGTAATACTCAGGAATCACTCCTGGTGGTGCTTGGGGGACCATGTGGCATGCTAGGGATCGAACCCGGGGCAGCTGTGAGCAAGGCAAATGCCCTAACCAATGAACTATCGCTCCAGCCCCAAGTTTTGTTTTTCTAGCCACCAGCAGGAGACAGGGTGAGACTTTGTCTCCTCCGTGGCTTTGTGACATTCAAAATATACTTTAGGGAGAAAAATACTCCTCGAGGGTGGGGGAGATGGGACAAAAGCCTGGGGTACACACTTTGCATGTGGGAGCTCTGGGTATCCCTTCCTGGCACCACGCAGTTAACCAAGTGAACTCAATCAAAGCTCAAACCAAAATATTCCCCTGGGACTGATCACCTGCTACTCTGACTGGGAGAAGGGAGGGGTGTGTGTGATGGAACGAAGATGTCTCAGTAGGGATGGCACAACTGAAGAGCCGAAGTGCTTGGGCCAGAGAGATAGGACAATGGATAGGGCACTTTCTATGCACAAGGTTGACCGGAGCACTGCTGGGTGTCGCCAAAATAACAAAACCAAACCAACAAAACCAAGAACCAAAGTGTAGCTTTGGGGCTGGGCTGGCAGAGCACTCAAAGGACCCTGGGCTTCCCTCCCTGCCCCAAGCAGGACCTGGCAGCTGAAAACCTCCAGAACCCAACAGCCTCCAGGCGCAAGGCCACTCTCCACACGCTCAGACGAGCCTCCCCCAAGACGGGATGAATCTCACCAGAGAGCTGCCAGCAGGAAAACCCAGGTACACGGGAACTTGTGACTGAGATCTCCAAGCCAGCTTGGATTGGGACTGGGCCTCCTCCCCCATGTCCCCAGTATTCCAGAAGCTTGGTAGTCACACCCACAAACTGCCCCCAGCGCCATGTAATCTCAATGGTCAAGACCCAGAGACTATAGGGGCTGGAGAGATAGCACAGCGGGTGGTGCGTCTGCCTTGCATGCAGCCGACCCGGGTTCAATTCCCAGCATCCCATATGGTCCCCTGAGCACTGCCAGGCATAATTCCTGAGTGCAGAGCCAGGAGTAACCCCTGTGCATCGCCGGGTGTGACCCAAAAAGCAAAAAAAAAAAAAAAAAGACCCAGAGACTATAAACTAAAGCTCCTGGAAGAGAACGAAACAGAATTTTCTGGACATTATATTCTATCCATAACAAGCAATACAAAACAAATCGCCTAGCATTGCCTTTTTTGCAGGTTTGAGTGGTGGTGAGATTGGCGTCGAAATATCGAATGTAGCCAAATCAGAGAGAGAGTATGGGGGAAATTGTCTGCTATACAGGCAGGGGAAGGGTTGGAATGGGGGTGAGGGGGGAAGACTGGGAATTCTGGTGGTGGAAAATGTGCACTGGTGAGGGGATGGGTGTTCGATGATTGTATGATCAAAGCTTAAAGATGAAAGCTTTGTAACTATCTCACGGTGAATCAAAAAAAAAGGAGGAAAATAAAATAATAAAATAAACATTCAGAATAGAATTTAAAAAATGTAATGTAGAGTTCATGCCCAATTCAGTCAGCTTAATCAACGGCCAAATAAATAGCAGTACTCCTATATTATTATTTTTTTTGAAAAAAGGACCTGGGCCTCCTCCAGCTGAGAGGGGGGTGTGCATTAACCATGCTTCTCCCCCGACCCCGCCTGCCTCCCTCACTCCTGGATCTGCACAGTGTAAAAGTTTTGGGGGTCTTTTTGGTCTCAGTTTCCTCTTCTGCCAATCGGTTAAGGCAAAATGCCCCTTAACCTTGTACACTGGATTTCTAGGCTCATTTTCTTAAAAAACAACCAAAAAAAAAAGTGTGGAGAGTTCCCATTCCATAGTGGGATTAATGGACTATGGTTTGTAGGAGTCTGTGTCCTTGGAAGAGTGTTTGCAGTTGGGGAGGGAAGGATTAAAATAAACCCGTTTTCCAAAAATAGTTGTGATTGAAAGTGTTATTATCCATAACAAATGTTAGTGCTGATGGGAGCCAGGCATGTGCTGTTCTTTTGTCTCACAGACAAGTGAAAGTCATATTTCACATTATCATGGGGGTTTTCTGTGATTTACAGAATATTTGTGAAACATTACTCGCAGGGGCCGTGATTGATATGGGGAGAACAGCTTGTGTGTGGGGAGGATGTGTATTTCACGAAGACTGTTCAACATGAAATTTACAGTCCCATAAAGTGCTTCTACATCTTCGCCAGAGATCTAGTTAAAAGGACTTTACAGTCTGAAACATCCTAAAATTGATTCTAAATTAACGTTTCCTCACCTATATTTGAGATATTGATGGGGCCCGGCTATCAGAATTTTATTAGGAAGCAATGAGCGGAGGCGCGCCGGTACAGACTCATCCTCCACTGCTCCCCAGAGGACACTGGGTCTGCTCTCTGCCCAGGGAAGGGCAGCCACGTGGCCTGGGGTGGGGCCAGGGCGAGACCCAGTCAGGCGAATACTGGGGATCGACCTGCACACAAAACTGACCCTGCCAAGAACTTAAGGTACTAGCAAAGATACCCTGACAAGATTGGACAGCTTCCTCTTACAGCTCTTCAAGGCTTTCTTGGATCTGTCAGCCCACATTTTAATTACTTAAAAAAATTTATTGTGGGGCCGGAGTGACAGTCTGGGTAGGTCGTTTGCCTTGCACGCTGCTGAACCAGGATCCATCTTCAGCACCACTAGGAGTAATCCGAGCGTAAAGCCAGGAGCAACCCCTGAGCGTTGCCAGGTGTGGCCCCGAAACAAAACAAAACAGTTTTATTACTGTTTCTTTTGGGGGGGGGAGTCACACCTGGGGATGCAACAGGGGTTACTCCTGACTCTGCACTCAGGAATTACTTCTGGCAGTGCTAGGGGGACCACATGGGATGCTGGGAGTCGAACCCGGGTTGGCCGCGTGCAAGGCAAATGCTCTACCCGCTGTGCTATCGCTCCAGCCCATGCTGTTGTTGTTTTTGGGCCACCCCCAGTGCATGCGCCTTACCACGAAAGGGTCCCGTGGTGAGTATCGCAGCCAGGCACGTGAGAGCCTTGGGCACTACAGCAGCAGCAATGGGAGAACTAAATACAAATAAAACAATTAAAAAACATCAGAAATAGCACTTGCCTTTCTGGGCCTTCTCCAGCCATTTTCAATTCAGGAGACCCCTGTGTTTTTCCAACCAGTGCGCATTATGGTTGAACTGTACCTGCTCTTCAGATTCGTATGTTGAACCCTGAGTCTGATTCTCTCAGGACGGGTCTTATTTTGGAAGGTCTTTGAGGGGAAGGCCACACTCAGTAGTGCTGAGGTGCTACTCCTGGCTCTGTGCTCAGGGGCTACTTCCTGCGGTGCTCGGTGGACTGTGTGATGCCAGGGCGCATACCCGGGCCTCCAGCATGCCAGACATGTGCTCAGCCCACTGTGTGCTCTCTCCTTGCTTTGTTCATTTTAGACCGTATTGCTTTTGTATTCTGGCAGTTGAAAAAATCCCGTTTTCCTTCCCCTAACCTCACAGTGTAGCTTCTCACAATTCAGTTAAATGAGTGTTTGTACTTGGGGGGAAAGTTTGGGTTACCCCCATTGGCACTGAGCTCAGGGAGAACTCCTGGAAGGCTTGGAGCACCATATGGGGTGCTGGGGATCGATCCTGGGTTGGTCTTGTGCAAGGCAAGCATCCCACCTGCTATATTACTGCTCCAGTCCATGTGTTTACACTTTTGACCAAGTAAATAAACAGGGTTCACGTAGGGTGCAAACTGAACATTTTGGGGGGGAGGTCACAGCCAGGAGTGATTCCAGAGCACAGAGTCAGGAGTAAGCCCTGAACACAGCTTAGTATGGTCAACAAACAAAACACACACACACAGAGAGAGAGAGAGAGAGAGAGAGAGAGAGAGAGAGAGAGAGAGAGAGAGAGAGAGAGAGAGAACGGCGGAGCCAGGAGTAAGCCCTGTACACCACCAGGTACAGCCCAAACCTCCCCCTGTTCAAAATAATAAAGGGCTGAAGAATATACTTATGCTTGATTGCCAGCACCAAGTGGTTTCGATTAATTCTGGGTGTGAACCAAAAGTTAAAGAAAAAACATTTTTTTTCAATTGTTCCTAAGTTTCTGGAACAATTTTCTTCCATGTTTCCAAACAGGAGCAATGAACATTTTCCCAGATGTTCCCCACAGTTGATGAGATCCATCAGTTCCCTGGGAACTGTCTCAAAGCCTGTCCTTCTGCTCCAGTTTGGAATCGCCACCTCAGTTCCTCAGGGAGATTTCCCTTTGATGTCAGTTACCCTGTTTTCTGGATTCACCTCTTCCTCCTCCTTGGTTTACTCTCTAGTTTTGTTGAAACGCATTTTCCAGTAGCTTCCTAAGAAATTAGAATTATTTTTGTGTGTTTTTTAAAATCTGGAGATACTTTTGACCTTAGGGTAGACTGTCTGGGTATATAAGTCTATCTTTAAAATAAATAAAAAGGTTTGCTTCAGTGTGAGAAAATGGCTCTATTGAGGAGGCCGAGTCATTCCAGTACCTGTGCCTGGGTGACTTGTTTTCTAAGTTATTTTTTTTGTGTGAGCTGGAGTGATAGCACAGCGGTAGGGCGTTTGCCTTGCACGCAGCCAACATGGCCGACCTGAGTTCAATTCCTCCTCCCCTCTCGGAGAGCCCGGCAAGCTACCGAGAGTATCTCGCCCTCATGGCAAAGCCTGGCAAGCTCCCCGTGACGTATTCGATATGCCAAACACAGTAACAACAAAGTCTCCGATGGAGACGTTACTGGGCCCGCTCGAGCAAATCGATGATCAACGGGAGGGCCTTTACTTTACTTTTTACTTTATGTGTGTTTGTG